AAAAAAAAGAAAGAATTAAACATTTCTCAAAATTAAAAAGGTAAAAATAAGTTTTTGGACAAATGCTAAGAGAAAATATCATCAGGAACCCTAAATGGAAGCACTAGTACTAGAAGTCCTAGCTGGAGAAATCAGACAAGAGAAAGAAATAAAGGGCATACGAATTTGAAAAAAGGAAGTCAAATTATCCTTGATTGCAGATAATATGATCTTGTATTTGGAAAAACCAAAAGACTCCAGCAAAAAACGATTAGAACTGATAAACACATTCAGTAAAGTTGCAGGATACAAAATTAACATATAAAACCCAGTAGCATTTCTATATGCCAACAGTGAATAATCTAGAAAAATCAAGAAAGTAATCTCATTTACAATAGCTACAAATAAAGTAAAATAAAATACCTAGGAATAAACTTATCTAAAGAAGTGAAAGATCTCTATAATGAAAGCTATTAAACATTGGAGGACACAAAAAAATGAAAAAATATTCCATGTTCATGAGTTGGAAGAATTAATATTGTTAAAATGTCCATACTGCCCAAAGCAATCTACAAATTCAACATAATCTCTATCAAAATACCAATGACATTTTTCACAGAAACAGAAAAAATAATCGTAAAATTTACATGGAACCACAAAAGACACAGAATAGTCAAAGCCATCTAAGCAAAAAGAACAAAACTGGAGGAATCATAATTATCTGACTTTAAATTATATTACAGAGCTACAGTAACCAAAACAGCATGGTACTGACATGACCATAGATGCACAACCAATGGAACAGAATAGAGAACCCAGAAACAAGTCCACAGACCCACAGTGAACTTATTTTTGATAAAGGTGCCAAGAACATACACTGAGGAAACGACAGTCTCTTCAATAAATGATGCTGGGAAAACTGGATCCACATGCAGAAGAATTAAATTAGACCCCTCATTTTTCACCATATACAAAAATCAAATCTAAATGAACTAAAGACTTAACTCTAAGATCTGAAACTATGAAACTACTAAAAGAAAACACTGAAAGTAGGGTCTCACAGAGATATTTGTATACTTATGTTCATAGCACCATTATTCACAATAGCCCTAAAAGATGGGAGCAAACCAAGTATCCACTGAGGAATAAATGGATTAAAGAAATATGGTATACAGCCATACAATGAAATATTATCCAGCCTTAGAAAAGAAGGAAATTCTGACACATTATGACAATTTTACAAGATAAAAAACTTCTGGAGATTGGTTGCACAACAACGTGTTATACACTTAACATTACTGAACTGTGTGTACACTTAAGATGGTCAAGATAATTTTATGTCATACGTATTTTACCACAATTAAACATAAAATTTTAAAAATTTTAATGGTAGAATCTAGGTATTAGATAAATAAGTGTTCATGGTAAAATTCTTTCAACCTTACTGTATATTGGAAAAGAAAGAAAAATATAGATCAAAATTTCTCTCATGAACAAAATCCTAATGCAAAAATCCTAAAGAAAATATTAATAATTTAAATTTAAAGAAATGAAAAGGAAAATACATCACAACCAAGAATGGTTCATTCTAACAATGCAAGAATATTTCATACTTTTAAAAAATCAATTCATCACAATATCAGAATATTTTTATTCAGTGTAAAATAATTCTTATTTCTCTTTGGACTTTTTGACTATCAGTTACTTAGAAGTGTGCTATTTTCAAATATCAGATGGTTTTATTATATCTATATTTATTTGATATTATATCAAATATCAGATATCTATATCTATAGATATAATATCTATTATTGATTTCCAATTTTATTCCATTGTAATCAGAGAGCATTTTTGTATTATTTGGAATCTTTTATAATTTATTTGAAACTGGTCTGGGCTCAGTGACTCATACCTATAATCCCAGCACTTTGGGAGGCTGAGACAGGCAGATTGCTTGAGGTCAGGAGTTCAAGACCAAGCTGACCAATGTGATGAAACCCCGTCTCTACTAAAAATACAAAAAATTAGCCAGGCATGGTGGCATGAGCCTGTAGTCCCAGCTACTCGGGAGGCTGAGGCAAGACAATCGCTTCAACCTAGGAGGTGGAGATTGTAGTGAGCCATGATTGTGCCACTGACCTTCAGTCTGGAGGACAGAGCAAGATTCTGTCTCAAAAAAAAAAAAAAAAAAAGAAAAGAAAGAAAATTGAACCTGTTTTATGGCACACAATATGGTTTACCCTGGTAAATGTTCTACATGCACTTAAAAAGAAATGTGTACTCTGCTGTTTTGGGTAGAGCATACTGTAAATGGCAGTTGGGTCAAGTAGGTTGATAGTGTTGTTCAAGTCTCCTAAATCCACTGATTTTCTATCTGTTCCATCGATTTTTGAGAGTGGGATGTAGGAATCTTTGAACAAAAGTATTTGTTTCTTTGTAGATTTTGCTTCATGTATTTTGAAGTTCTATTATTAGGTGCATAAACATTTAGGACTGTAAAGAAAGGATTTTTTTTCTTAATAGAGCTAGGTCAATTGTTCTCCAACTGAAAAAAAAAAAAAAACAAAAAAAAAAACAGATCTTTACCCCACTTTACATTATATCAAAAAAATTTCCGCTGGGTGCGTGGCTCACGCCTGTAATCCCAACACTTTGGGAAGCCAAGGCGGGAGGACTACCTGAGGTCAGGACTTTGAGACCAGCCTGGCCAACATGGCAAAACCCCATCTCTACTAAAAATATAAAAATTAGCCAGGCATGGTGGCACATGCCTGTAGTCCCAGCTACTCAGGAGGCTGAGGCAGAAGAATTGCTTGAACCAAGGAGGTGGAGGTTGCATTGGGCCAAGATTGTGCCACTGTAGTCCAGCCTGGTGACAGAGCAAGACTCCGTCTCAAAAAAAAAAAAAAAAAAAAAATTTCAGCTGGACTAAACCTAAGTGAGAGAAAAACAATCATAAAGCTTTAAGACCTGTGGTAGGAAAATATTTCATCAAAAGGTTATCAAAAATGATAACCATAAAAGCAAACTGGGCACAGTGGCTCACGCCTGTAATCCCAGCATTTTGGGAGGCCAGGGTGGGTGGATCACGAGGTCAAAAGTTCGAGACCAGCCTGACCAACAAGGTGAAACCCCCGTCTCTACTAAAAATACAAAAATCAGTCAGGCGCGGAGGCACGCGCCTGTGATCCCAGCTACTCGGGAGGTTGGGGCAGGAGTATTGCTTGAACCCGGGAGGTGGAGGTTGCAGTGAGCAGGGATCGCACCACTGCACTCTAGCCTGGGCGACAGGGTGAGACTCCATCTCAAAAAAAAAAAAAAAGCAAAACTGATAAATTAGAATAGAATTAAAAACATTCACAAAAAGAATAAGAAAGTAAAAGAACAAGTCACCAAAGAGTTAGAAATATCTGCAACCCACGTATCTGACAAAGGACTTGTATCCACAGTACACAAAAATGCCTAGAAATCAATAAGCAAAAGGCAGAGAACTGAATTTAAAAATAAACAAAAGACTTGAACAGGCACTTCACACACAAAAAAAAATCTTAATGGTCAATAATCACATGAAAAGTCAGCATTATTCCTCATTAGAGAAATATAAATGAAAACCATTTACACAGTCACCAGAATGGTTAAAATTAAAAGGACTGACAATATCAAGTGTTGGCAAGAATGTGGCATAAACTAGAACTCTCACATTGCTGGTAAGAGTGTAAATTGGTTCAAATGCTTGGCAAAATTGTTTGGCATAATACTAAAGTTAAACACATATCTTTCCTCTGACTCTGAAAGTCCATTGCTAGGTATATGCTCCAAAGAAACAAGCGCATATGTCCACCAAAGAATGTATGAGAATATTCAAAGCAGGTTTACTGATAAAAGCCAAAAGCTAGAGACAACTCAAATGTCCATCGAAAGGAAAAGAGAGAAGCAAATTGAGGTAAATCAATCACATAGTACAATAGTACACAACAATAAAAAAGAATTAACTGATACATGCAACCACATGGAGAAATCAAACAAATATGTTGAACAAAAGAAACCAGACCATATTCTCTGATTCCATTTATATAAATTTCAGGAATAGGAAAAACATATTTATGGTAATAGATGTAAGAACAGTAGTTATTTCTGAGAGTGGGAAAAGGTAGATATTAACTGGGAAATATTATGAGGTAACATTCTGGAGTGAAAGGTCCTATTTTAACTTGAGTTGTATCTACATGAGTGTATATAAATGTAAAAATTCATCATGTCGTATATTAAAGATTTTTGAATTTTATCATATATGAAAAGGAAGGGAACCATTAATAGAGTAAAAAGGAAAGCAATAAAGTGGTAATATGAAACAAAGGACTTTTATCTAGAATATATATAAAACTCCAAAAAAATTCTGTAACAAAAAACATACAACCCAATAGAAAAATGGAAAAATATAGGTGTTTTATTAAAAAGTGTATCCAAATGCCCAATAAACATATGAAAGGTGCTCAACCTTCCAGGTCTCATCAGAGAAATGCAATTAAAACCACAATGTGATGCCACTACAAAGTAGAATTACAAAAATTACAAAGGACCATGCCAAATACTGGGAAGAATATGGGAAAACGGCAACTCTCATTCACTGTTGTAAAGAACGTAAACTGGTTCAATCACTTTGGAAAACTGACACTATCTACTAAATAGTAGATATCTTTATCCATAATAAATAACTATTAACATATTTTTAAAAAGTAATTATTGCAAGATTAAGATTAAGCTCTCTTTTTTTATCCTTCTTAGACCCAGAATGATCTTTAAAATAATGAATTATATTAAGTGCAGTATAATCCCTTCAGGTGTGCTTCTAATCTAAAAAAAACAATTTATCCCTTTTAGAAGTTTAATAAATAACTGAGGCCAGAAACCTGAAATGAATAATACTTTATAATATTTTCACAATGACCAACAGACCTCATTGCTGAGTGCCCTGCAGGGGTAAGTGAGAGATAAGCCTGGCCAAATGCCAACAGCTTCACCTTTTTGCTGAGATTCATATTCTTCATCTTAGCCTTTAGCAGCTTCATCTTATTCATAGTTATTGAATTTTCAATTATCTGTTGCCCAGAAGAAGGCTCAGTTTCTTCATCCTCATCTGTATCCGAATTATACATAGAACCACCACTGAAAAGAAAACAATAACTACTTGAAATTTTTCTGATACCTGCTCAGTGACTAAAAATGCTCTATATGAAACAGCAATCTATAGAAGTTACTAATGACAAAATACTACTTCCATTTTGTCAATGTCAATGCAAGGAAAATATACTTCAAAGAATGTACTTCTTAAAAGAAAAAATGAAATGGGAATAAATATTATGATCTAGCATTACTGAAAATCTAGTATAGCTGAGCTTCTCTGAATTCAGCATATCATAAATGAAGATGTTTTGGCACCTGTCATATCATTCCCAAAGAGGCAAAATCCATTTCCTTGAGAATGTCTGATTTCATTTTATCAGGCAAGGCTGATAATTATGCAACCCAGACAAAGGTTGATGAGATTTCCATGAATCAGAATTTTTTAAAAATTGGCACAGGAGAGTAATATAGATTTTTAGTCATCCTGAGGGGATTCTCACTTAAAAAAAAAAAAAAAGAATTCATGCACAGGTGTCATCACTTTCTATTCTTAAGACTATTCTTAAAGGGCAAATATATATATGTGTGTGTGTGTATATATATACACACATACATATATATACATATATATGTGAATATATACATACACACACACATATATATCTTTTATATATATAAGAACCACATAGTATGATATATATATACACACACACACACACACACATTTTTTTTTTTTTTTTTTTTTTTTTTTGAGATGGAGTCTCACTCTGTCACCAGGCTGGAGTGCAGGGCGCAATTTCGGCTCACTGCAACCTCTGCCTCCCAGGTTCAAGCGATTCTCCTGCCTCAGCCTCCCAAGTAGCTGGGACTACAGGTGTGTGCCACCACACCCGGTTAATTTTTTGTATTTTTAGTAGAAACGGGGTTTCACCGTGTTAGCCAAGACAGTCTTGATCTCCTGACCTCGTGATCCACCTACCTCGGCCTCCCAAAGTGCTGGGATTACAGGTGTGAGCCACTGCGCCCAGCTAATAAATTTTCTTAAGTAGAAATAACTTAAAATTTTTCTAAGTATGTTTGAAAATGTAAAAACCTAGAATAGCATAGATTTTAACAAGAAAAAAGACATCCAGTCAAGTCATGATACAAGCCATTAAACAGGTCAAACATTTCAATTACTGATCAACCACAGTGACGTTATTCATATTTCAATGTAATTAATATTTGGAACCCTTCCTCTTTGATTGCATAATGATGTATCACACTATCCTCATATTTATATTTACATGTTTGTTTTGCCCCTTATTCACCCATACGTAAACAAGTTGAAAGCAGATATTAGATTTTATCTTCTTAGTCTGCACCAGGCACAGTGCTTGGCACATAGCCAATAAATGTTTGATGAACTGAACACAAATATTTTGAAATTTCATTTATCTTTTCTATAATGGGAAAATTAGAATGGCAAGGATTTGATAAAATACAAGCTCAGCACATTTGGAGAATGATTAAAACTTTAAATAAAGCAGAATAAGAATACATATTAGTTTTTATGCAGATTTACTTATAGGAAAACTAGGTTATCCACACTATGGAAGTATGAGGGTTAATAAAATTTCCCATTTTATATGGTTGTAAGAAATGGAAACAATTTAGGATAGCCTTAATAGGATATATTCCTTAATGTTTCTGAAGCACATATTATTGCCACACAAGGGCAAAAAAGAGAGTAGACAGCCCCATTCCTACATTTTATATGGTGCAACATGAAATGCTCTGAAACTGTGGGTTAATTACACGCACTACACGCATGGGTAGCATCAGAAGGAAGAATGTAGGACCTAGTCTCCACAACCAATTCAGTCTGTGATGCTTGACTTGTGAAAGTCACAGTTACCTACTACAACATGGCTACCATAGTATGATAACCAACACAAGCACAACACTGAAGTAATAACATTGCCTGCCATTTACTGAATGCCTGCTCTGCCAGGCACTTCCCACACATTATTCCTAATTCTCACAAAACTACATAAGGTAAATATTATAGCCGATTTTATTAATGGAGAAACTCCAGGTGAGAGAGGTTAAGTGATTTGGCGCAAGATCAGAAAGCTGTCGACAGCAGACCTAAGATTCAAATCCCCCATCTGTCTGGTTCCCAAGCTGATTCTTCCTACTACCACTCATTGCTTCCCTAGGCACCAAAAGACAGGCCTTACTGCATCATGCTTGTGCACCCAAATGAGTGCCAGACTTCTACTGTGTGAAGGCTTTTGTCTCAAGGCCAACTGCACAATACCTGAAGAGGAAGGGTGTATGAAGATTTTTGTCATTTCACCCTGTGGAGTTAGAAGGAATAACTCAAGTATACACTATTCTCAGTTACCTTGCAATATTTTAATCTTAAATACTTCTGAGTTACCCTGTAGCATTTTAAGTATCTTTATTGAATACTGAAAAAAGTTTCTGATTCAACATTACTGTCATGAAAAGACCTATTCTCTCATGGAATATATACATATACACACACACATACATACACACATATATATCTTTTATATATATAATATGTATTATATACATATATAAAAGAAAAATAATGATAAATCACTGGACTCATTTTAGAGTATAAAAGCACTTTTAAGTTCACCTTTTTATTCAAAGAACCACATTATTGTGTTTTCTCTCATGAAGTATAGATTCATGAGATGAGTTAGAAGCCAACCACAAATTTTTTTCAGATGAAAAATGTAACTAGATTAGGTTAACATAGTAATTTATAAATTTAATCTGAAATGGCTTTCTTTATATTTAAATATCATATTTAAATCTTTTGATTTAATGATAGGATTAAAGGATACGAGATGGGCAAATGTAATATTATTCAAATATGAAATCTGTACATCCCAAAGCCAAGACCTCATTTAACTTTCACAATTTAGCATTAAGTCTTACAATGTCTCCTTATCTTTCTGCTTAAAAAATCCCAGGCCAGGCGCAGTGGCTCACGCCTATAATCCCAGCATTCTGGGGGGCCGAGGTGGGCGGATCACCAGGACAGGAGATCGAGATCATCCCGGCTAACACGGTGAAACCCCATCTCTACTAAAACTACAAAAAAATTAGCCGGGCGTGGTGGCATGTGACTGTAGTTCCAGCTACTCGGGAGGCTGAGGCAGGAGAATCATTTCAATCTGGGAGGCGGAGGTTGCAGTAAGCCAAGATAGCCCCACTGTACTCCAGCCTGGGCAACAGAGCAAGACTCCATCTCAAAAACCAAACAAACAAACAAACAAAAATCCCAGTAAGGTGGCATGATCCACTAAAAAGATTTGAGACTAAGAAAAGACTGATGCTGAATTTTGTGTCAGAATGAAACAAATTAACACTCAATTCTACCTCTTCCTTCCTAGAGTAGGAGTCAGCAAACCATGGTCATGGGTCAAATCTGCCCCACCACCTATTTCTATTTCTGTGTGGTCCATGAGCTAAGAATGGTTTATGAACTTTAATTAGTCAAAAAAACTCCAAATAAGGGTATTTCATAACACATGAAAAGTAAATAAAATTCAAATTTGAGTTCATAAATAAAGTTTTATTGGAACACAGCCACATTCACCCAATCATGTATTACAAATGGCTGCTTTTGCCTACAATGGCAGAATTGAGTAGCTATGAAAGATTTTATGTGGTTCTCTCGTTGCTCTACATTGTGATATGGGAAACTACAAATCACTGTGACACAGTCATAATTCAACAGCATTTTGACTGCCATGTATATTGCTATTCTGTGACTTTTTTTATTAGTAGTGTATACCCAACCTTGTCAAACAAGAAAAGTAGACTTCAAATGTTGCCATTTTAAGGTTCCATAGAGTGGATTATTTGTTAGCAATTAGATAGCAAAGCATGATGCTTATTATGCAGTGACACTACAGCTATGCTAAAGGAAAACAGCATAAATAAGCATTATCAGGTTAGGCATTCATCACAATATTCCCAACCTGCAGGAAAGCAACAGTCAGAAAAATTAGAAAATTTACAATTTACATCATAGTACAATTTACATCACATTTACAATTTACATCACAGCAGAATTTCTTTACAAAAATAAAAAATGAAAATGAAGCTATAACCAAAGAAGTTTCCGATTGTTTATATCTGCTAGCCAAGCAAGGAAAGCTACTTATCAATAGTGAATTAATTCACTATTGATCATAGCAGTTGAGGAAGTACATCCTGAGAAAATAAACTTGTTTAAAGGTTACTTTTTCAGCAGGAACAATTTCGCAAAAAGTTGACAGCGTTGGAAGCAACATCAACAGCTGATTTAAAAATAAGGTAAATGATTGAGTCATTTTCCTTGTTTTTTGATGAGGTGACATATATCACCCATATTGCTCTGTGTTACTGTTTATTGAGGGCATCATTACCAAGTTTGAAGTGACTGAAGAGTTGGCCCCTATGAATAGTCTGCATGAAGCTACTACAGGTGAGAATATTTTCAAATAAACTGCTAAAACATTAATTTAGTACAACTTTAAGTGAACTCTGCTATGACTGATGGGGTGATGTGTGGAACAGAAAAAAAAAACTTAGTTGGACAAATTTATAGAGTTAGTGAACATGTAAGGTCTTTTTTTTTTTTTTTTTTTTTTTTTTTTTTTTGTCTTTTTGAGACAGGGTCTCACTCTGTCACCCAGGCTGGAGTGCAGTGGTGCGATCTCAGCTCACTGCAACCTCTACCTACTGGGCTCAAGCAATGTTCCCACCACAGCCTCTGAAGTAGCTGGGACTACAGGTGTGTGCCACCAGGCCGAGCTAACTTTTTTCGAGATGGAGTTTCACTGTGTTGCCCGGGCTTCTCAAACTCCTGGACTCAAGAGATTCACCCACCTTCCAAAAGTGCTGGGATTACAGGTGTGAGCCACCATGCCCCTTAAACATGTAAAGTCTTTAAAGTATACAGTTATTCATCAGCAGGTATTTCATGGTAAATATCTGAATCTATCCTGTGTTATTAAACCAGCAGTGTTAATGGTAAACTTCAATTGTTTCATGGACTTATCCATCATCAGTTTGGTGGCTTACTGGTAATAAAGTTTTATTATGATTTTTTTTAGCTCAGGAACTCTGAATGAGAAGAACTGGCCTTAACTACTATTATCAAACACTTTTTAAATTTTTTAATTGTCTTTGGAAATTAATTTTTACTGTGGACTTCATAATGTTTCGTAATGAATTTAACCTAAAATTACAAAATAAAACAATGTTTATATGTGAAGCATATACTGCAATAATGTCATGTTAACAACAACTAATGTTTGAATTGCATGTAATAGCAAGCTGCAATCATTCCCATGCTTTCAAAAGTTGAAATTAGGTAATATCTCTATTCCCACAGAAATTTGCAGCAGATATATTTCTGAGCTCAAGCTATAGGTCTAGCAGTGATTTTATACCTCAGGGCAATTTCCAAAATGTCCTATTTCAAAATTCATTTAAATGTGCAACTGAGGAGCTTCCAGGGCAAACAGCAAGAGAAGATCTCATAGAATTTTATAAATGTCTTACAAATGATCAATATGCTCAATAAAATAATGTGCTCATGGACTGATAGCAGTATCTGACAGTACCTATCTGTGTGAAAAAAAATTTTTCTAAGATAAAATACACAAAATCTCATTACAGATCAGTATTAACAAGTGGACTTTTGCAATTGACCTTGCAATTTTGATGGGCAACACTAACTTTCAACCAACTTTCAACTCAATTAGGTAAAACATTATTCCCATGAAAAAGAATTCCATTCTTCTCTGGAATTCTGTGGTACAAACAGAAGAAAAGTACCCAATTGTTAGTCTTATATTTTGAACTTTGTTAGTAAGTTTTGTGGAGATCTGTTTTCTCTCTTGTTACATAAGTACCTATTTAATATCCTTAATGCTGTATCTTGTCCTAAAAATCCTAAAATAGTTACTATCTGCACACCTTTACAGAAGAAGTTTGCTACCTTTGTTGTAGACTAGGAAAGCCTCTTCTAGAACAGGAAAGATAAATGTCCTTCATGGTATGACCAGATCGTTTTCTACTCCTCTTTCTCATTCATCCATCCCTTTCCTTGTCCAATTATTGTAAATGAATACAAAGGAAGAAAAAATAAATAAATTATCTTGTGATGAACAATAAGACAGTTCTAATTAAATTCCATGATGACATTTGAGCTGAGTCATAAAAACAAATAGAAGTCGGCTGAGGAGAAGCCGGAGTAAGAGGAGAAAATGACGTTTTAAGAAAAAGGGAAAAGGTGTAAACAAACACAGCATAATGAAAAGACCTGGAAAACTATGGTGACAGGTTGTCAAAGGACTCATACACTAAGCTGAGGAGCTTGGGTTTCCTTTAGGAAAAGGGAGCCAAAAGAGTGTGTACTAGGGAAGAAAACTAAACAGTGAGTCAGCACATGGCAAAAGTGGTATGAAGACATTCTATTAATGGCCTAAGGCTGTAACCCTCACTGCTACCTCCTCCATTTCTTGCCCATGGTTTATGCCAAGTTTGTAGTGCTAACCAGATGCTGACATATTAAAGTCAACAGGTAACACCCATGTGTCACAGTCTGCTCTCTGAGGCCACAAAAAATTGAGTCTAATCTTTCTTTCACATAACACTCTGTGGTGGGCAGAATCCCAGGAGAATCTCTCTGACTCTTGACCCCTGGTGTTCACATCACATACGGTTTCCTATCCTTGAGCCTAGGCATGATGGACGTCTTGCTTCTAGCCAACTGAATATGGCAAAGGACGTTGCAGATGTAATTTAGGCCCTAAATCAGTCAATTTTGAATTCAAGAGGGAGCTGAGGGCAGCCTCTAGTCAACAGCCAGCAAAAAACTGGGTCCTCCATCATATAACTGAAAGGAAATGAATTATGCCAGCAATAAGAGTGACCTTGTAAGTAGATTCTCCTCCCCAGTCAAGCCTCCTGATAAGAGACTTGCTGACACCTTGACTCCAGATTGTGAGGCTTGGAGTACAGTGATGCTGTGCCTGGACTCCTGACCCACAGAAACTGTTCTCCAAACTACAAACTGTTTTTTCTTTAAATGATTTCACCACTACCTTTTTATTTTGCAGGAAGGACCTGTAACACCTTCCCTTCCTCTCTCTGCTTGGCAAACTCCACTCCCCTTTTAGGGTCACAGCTTCTCAGAGGTTGTGTCTAACTCTCTGCCTTTCATGCATAATAAAGGCCCTCTCACCTATTCTCCCAGAGATCCTGATATCTTTTTATAACATCACCAAGATTATATCACCGATACTCTTTATAGCAGACTGCATGCTCCATGAAGGTAGGAACAATCATCTTTACATCATCAGTGCCTTGCTCAATGAATGGTCATAAAAGTTCAGTGAGTGAATGCTTAATAACTTGAAGTGAAAGAAGATAAACAATCATAGTAACTCAGAATGCAGAGCAACTAACTGAGAGGTTGCCTTGTCCAATTCTCTAATTTTTCTATTGCTTAGCTAAATATCTGTAGGGTTTTTCCTCCTGATTTTAGAATATTACAATTTCTCTCCCTTTTATAGAATAGGAAAATAAGATCAGAGAAATAAAGAGATTTATCCGCCTTTAAGCAGCAGACTTAAATTTAGAAAAAAAGGTATCAACTTCAGGTTTAACCCTTTCTATTATGCTAAGGTTGTATAATAACACACTATTATGACAGGATTCTATAATCTATTAGGCATCTTAGAGTTTCACAGAGTAACAGAAACAAATCTTTTTATGAAAACATCCCACTCTGTAAAAAAAAAACCTCAGTTTTATCATATCAATCATATGAAGGACAATTTCAGACTTATATATTGGGGGCTGGGGTAGGAATGAGATGCATGACATTTGTTAATATATATAGATTATTTTGACAACACAAGGTAAACAAAAGTTTATGGAGTACCTCATACGATGTTCTCCTTTTCTCCGTAAGACATGCAAATGAAAACCTATTTTCTTTGAAGAGTCAGATAACGGTGTTAAAGTGCCATTTCCCCTATCTACTGCAGGAAGGAAATTCAATTGATCTCCTTCTCGGTACACCAAAAATGTAACTTGTTTGTTGCAGGAGGTCTTCTCCCAGACCTCAACTCGACTGGAATCCAAGTACTCTGCCATCTTCCTAAGTGGATCTTCTGTAGGAACTACAAATGGAAAATTGATAAGTCTTCGATTTGGATCAAGTTTCATGCATCTGGGCACAGTAGTGACAGGATATAATGTACTGAATTTGAACAACAGCCCTGTGCATATAATATAAACATGATATTCTTCAAATAAGTTTCTGATCTTTCTAGAGTTAATATAGCATGCCTTATGTTGTATTAATAAGAAACAAACAAACGAAATGCATGATTATGTTACTATGTTCAAAGACAGAGCTAAACCAAAACATGAGGGTTTTTTGGTCCTATGCCATTATAGTCTATATTTTTTTCCCTATGCCACTAGAGTCTGTGTATTTGCTGATTCTATGACATTACTATCAACAATTCTTTTACTATATACTTTCTGCTCCCTATATTTTCAAATATTGGTTCCAACAATAATTAAAATCAACATAAATCCCACTTACTTTAGATTAAAAGTACACAGACACAGCCGTACGTGGTGGCTCATGCCTGTAATCCCAGCACTTTGGGAGGCCAAGGCAGGCAGATCATGAGGTCAAGAGATCGAGACCATCCTGGCCAACATGGTGAAACCCCGTCTCTACTAAAAAAAATACAAAAATTAGCTGGGCATGGTGGCGTGCACCTGTAGTCCCAGCTATTCGGGAGGGTAAGGCAGGAGAATTGCTTGAACCCAGGGGCCGGCGGTTGCAGTGAGCTGAGATTGCGCCACTACACTCCAGCCTGGCGACAGAGGGAGACTGCATCTCAAAAAAAAAAAAAAGGACACACACACACAAATACATAATTAGGAGACATATCTAAGAAATTAGAAGTAAGCAGACTTATTTTTTTCTTTCTGGTTTTATATAAACGCTGATTCTGAGAGCTGTTTCTTGACGTGAAGTTAAGTAATTAAAAGTACATAATAACTTAGAACGTGAGGGGGTCACTTAATGTACTAAAACTGCAACAGTTCCAGGAAAAAATAAAAGTTCTCTCCCAAAGACATTCTCATCATACTGCAGAAACATCTGCTTTCTCCTAAAAGAGGCAAAGATTTCCCAAGCTGCATAACTTTCATTTATTTATTAACAGAAATGTGGTGCTCTACAATCCTTTAAAAAGAAGTTGCAGCAATAGGAAAGTATTAAACTTGGAAAGCAGTAAGGTAAAAACATCAAAGATGTTTCCATAGCCTAAATTCAATAACACTATTACTAACACAAAAATCTTATGATTTAGCTTGCTTTATGAAAATAGTTATTTGGATGTTTTTATTTACTTTCATAGGCCCAAAATGTATAAATATTAAAAGACACTTTTCAAACAACTTCTTGCCCTTTGTAAGTTAATGCTCCACTTTCCATATTACGTCCAGAGATAAAAATTTGGATCAGAAGGCAGACCTTTGGGGGAAAAAAAAACAACAAAACACAACAAAAAAGAAATAAAAATTATGCCTATTTTTTTAGATATTGCTATAGCCATTACCACAGTCACATGAAAGCCTTTCCTAAACCAGCACAGGGTGCCTTACTCAGGCAGGTATATGTGTGTATCTTCTCACAACAGAAAAATCTTTCAGATTTTACCAGTTATAAAACAATATATATGAAGTTTGATATGCATTGGGCACAATTTAGTTCTAGAAAAGAAACTAATTTTAATCTTTCTATGCTGCTTTGATAATGGTTATTTCAAAAACAATTTTTATCTTTTTATTTGCATTCTTTATTTGAGACAGAGTCTCACTCACTCACTCATATGTTTATGAAGAGTGTGATACAGATTCTGAGGCAAAAAAAAATTTTTTTTTTTTTTTTTGAGATGGAGTCTTGCTCTGTCGCCCAGACTGGAGTGCAGTGGCGCAATCTTCACTCAACTGTAACCTGTGTCTCCCATGTTCAAGCAATTCTTGTGTCTCAGCCTCCTGAGTAGCCCGCCACCATGCCCAGCTAATTTTTTAATTTTTAGTAGAGATGGGGTTTCACCATGTTGGCCAACCTGGTCTCAAACTCCTGACCTCAATCCTAGTGCCTATAATCCCAGCTACTCAGGAGGCTGAGGCAGGGGAATCACTTGAACTCAGGTGGCAGAGGTTGAAGTGAGCTGAGATCAAGCCACTGCACTCTAGCCTGGGCAACAGAGCAAGACTCCATCTCAAAAAAAAAAAAAAAGTTTATCTCAGAATCTGTATCACACTCCTCATGAACACATAAAATAATTTTAGTTCTAATAAGAAAAGTAGGTGTTTTGATTAGACACTCTGGTTTAAAGTAGTATTACACACAAATAACCAACTTTCAAAAATGTAATACAATAGAATTCACATGGCATTAAACAGTATATAATTCTCTCTTAATATAATGGCTCAGTAACCATAGGGTTCTTGTGCTACTCCCAAGAGTTATTCCTATAAACATCACATAGTTATTACTATAAATGTCACATAGGACAATTACTTAAATCCAATTAATTAAAAGTCTCTGATATCAGGAGCGCTAACAGGCCCTAACATTACTAACTTTGTTTTTCTCTAACCTATAAAAAGCAGTTCAATAGCCAAAGTAGCATATCTCATTAAATCCTCTTGAGGTAGCTAAGAAAAAGATGGCAATAATCCTATTTTCTAACCAAAATTATGAAATATAGGGATATAATTTGACAAGTGGAAGCAAGCCAGGAGTAGAATCAATACTTATCCTTCAGTTTTCTGGTTAGTGAAGGATCAAATAAATCTGAAAGCCTTCCTCAAAATGAGGTCCACAGAAGAGGATACTCTGACTAGTCTCCTCCACTTGATGGGAATTCATGTGACACACCTGACTCAGGGACCAATGTGAATACTGCCTGCTCTTCTTGTGCTTAATAAAACCCTCTCATCAATCAAGTCTCCACTAATGTCGTCTTTTTGAGGGCCCTTCCTACCCTGTTTTCTGCATAGCACTTACAACCATTAGGAGTTACATCGACTCTTTACACATTTATTGTAGGCACTGTCATGAAGCAGAGACTTTCTCTCCCATGTCTACTATACTTGGAACATTGCACTGACCATTTAGTAGATGCTCAATATGTATTTGTTGAATGAATGACTGGATTTCAGAACTACTTATATTCTGAGAAAGGATGCAACAGGGCCATGATAATATCCATGAAACCCAGATGCATCACAAACCAAGTAAACAGGCAACGTTGGAATTTTGCAAAACAATCATAATCTCAGGAATTGAAGATCTGGTAGATTTAAAAATAAACAAGATTCCTATGAAACTAAACACAATGGTAACATAATACTTACAGTATGTCATTCCATTTCTGTTCCCTATATTGGCAAAAGGTTTATTTTTAAATCTCCCTGAATTGGATCAGGAATCAGGTGATTTTTCTGAATTGTATTTTAGAGTTCCAGCCTCTAGCCATTTAGGTTTTAAAGAACAATGCCTAGAGAACCAAATGTGATTTTTCTAAGACCTAATAGCAGAAAGGAAACCTAAATGAAACCTGAGGCTATAAAAATACTAACTGACATAAAGAATGTTACTGTCAAATTGCTTTTTTATATATATATATATGTATATATATGCCTACCTCTTCTAGTATTTATAGGTCCGCCACGAATAGCCAAAACTAGCTTTAAGGTACACCCTTCTGAAATGCTGTGGAGAGTTAACACAAAAATAAATCATAATCATCAAAATGCATTCAGTGCTAAATGTACACATAATTACATGCTGGCTTATCAGGCAGAGTGCCTACTCTCTAAAATATAAAAAGATATAGCAATGTAAATACATATAAAATGTTAACGTATTTATTGGTACAAATAATAAAAGAAGTGAAACAAATTCTCATAAGCCATAAAGAAATCCAAGAATAAACATACTGGAAAAGACCTCTGTGACTATGTGTTTTAGCTTGTTCATTTCACATGAAGGACAAGGAGGCCCAGAGAACAAAAGTGGCTTTCCCAAGACCCAAAGTGTAGAAAATAGCAAATCTATTTAATAAAATAGAAAATAGAAAAATAGCAAGGTCTCCTGACTCTCAGTGCTCTTACAGCTATTCCACACTGCCTCTTATCCTTTTGCCCTTTTCTTAAGAAAGGAGTGATGAATTATGTGAAAGAGGGGAGAAATAAGAGAGACAAAGTGTCAGAAAGTATGTTTGTAGTCACTGGTGCACACAGCATTGCTTAGTAACAAAAACAGGGCTTAATGAGAAAGGAAAGACTTTGGGAAGAACAATTCTCTCTTATCCAAAACTCTTTTAAAAACAGAAAGAAAAGGAACATGGCCAGGAAGGAATGGTTCAATATTCAAAGAAAGGAGCAAAGTAGGCAAGAATAGGAGGATTTCAAAAGGCAAGCGATAAACAGCTTGACACGAAAAATGAAAAGGGAACATAAACGTATCAGAGGATAAAGGTTAAGTAGTATAGAGTACCAAACTAATGCATCTGAGGTTCAGGATGTATGAAGAAATCTAGGAATCTGAACTATTCAGAAGAAAAAGAGACATGATCTAAGAGTTCAAAAGACAAATATTAGCATATGGAGTCATAATACTAAGTGCCTACAAAACAGCCAATATGCAATTACACTCACTTGTAATCATTCAAGCGATAATCATTTTCAAGTTCCATGTTATTCCAAATTAAGTGCTGTCGACAGATGGGAATACCTTAAGGCAAAGTTATTAAAAAAAAGTGTTAAAAGAATTCAATAGCATCTCCAAAAGAGTATGATACAAATCTATTTCATTAAGGAACTAAGAGTACTAATAAATTAAACATTCTTCTAAATTGAATGCTAGGTGCTAAAATTTACAGAAGGCATGCCTAAAAGGAGATATAGTCCAATCCATTCACTGTAGAAAAGAACAGATGTTGCAACAACTCTCTGGTCCTAAAACAAGGTATAAGATAGAGAGCCCTTTAAAAGGCAAGATAACACGCTCCTGCACAGCAAAAGAAGCTATCAACAGAGTAAAGAGATGATCTACAGAATGGGAGAACATATTCACAAACTATGCATCTGACAAAAGTCTAATATCTATATGCTATAAAGAACTTAATTCAACAAACAAAAAGCAACCCCATTAAAAAATGGGTAAAGGACATGAACAGACACTTCTCAAAAAAAAAAAGACATATATGTGGCCAACAAATATATTTTAAAAGCTCAACATGACTAATCACTAGAGAAATGTAAATCAAAACCACAATGAGATACAAGCTCACACCTGTCAGAATGGCCATTATTAAAAAGTCAAAAAATAACAGATGTTGACAAGGTTGAGGAGAACAGGCAACGCATACACTGCCAGTGGGAATGCAAATTAGTTCAGCCATTGTGGAAAGCAATGTGGAGATTTCTCAAAGAGTTTAAAATAGAACTACCATTCAACCCAGCAATCCTACTACTGGGTATATACCCAAAGAAAAATAAATCGTTCTGTCAGAAAGACACATGCACTGGTATGTCCATCACAGCACTATTCACAATACCAAAGAGATGAAATCAATCAAGACGCCTCCGCAACAGTGGACTGGACAAATAAAATGTGGTGCATATACACCACAGAACACCATGCAGCCATAAAAATAATAAAATTATGTCCTTTGCAGCAACATGAATGCAGCTGGAGGCCATCATCCTAAGAGAACAAATGCAGGAACAGAAAACCCAAATACCATGTGTTCTCACTTATAAGCAGGAGCTAAACACTGAGTATATATGGACACAAAGATGGGAACAATAGACACTATGGACTACATGGGGAGGAAAGGGGATGTGGGTTGAAAAACTACCTATCGAGTACTAGGCTCACATCCTGGGTGACAGGATAATTCATACACCAAACTTTAGTAACACACAATTTACCCATGTAACAAACCTGCCCATGTATCCACTGAACCTAAAATAAAAGTTGAAAAAAAAAAAAAAAAAGATATTGGGCTGGGTGCAGTGGCTCATGCCTGTAATCCCAGCACTTTGGGAGGCCGAGGCAGGTAGATCACCAGGTCAAGAGATTAAGACCATCTTGGCCAACATGGTGAAACCCCATCTCTACTAAAAATACAAAAACTAGCCAGGCATGGTGGCAGGCGCCTAGAGTCACAGCTACTCGGGAGGCTGAGGCAGGAGAATCACTTGAACCTGTGAGGCGGAGGTTGCAGTGAGCCAAGATTGCGCCACTGCACTCCAGCCTGGCAACAGAGTGAGACTCCATCTCAAAAAAAAAAAAAAAGATATCATGAATCAGGCCTGAAGAGTTTAATATTTAAGGCCTAAAATGGAAATCAAAAGCGAACAGGAATAGCTATTCTTATATCATATAAAACAGACTTTAAAGCAACAACATCTAAAAAAAAAAAAAAAAAGACAAAGAAGGTCATTACATAATCATAAAAGGATCAGTCCAACAAGAAGATATTACAATCCTAAATATATATGCACCTAACTCCTGAGCTCCCAGATTCATAAAACAATTACTACTAAGAGACAGACAACAACACAATAGCGGGGGACTTTTAACACTCCACTGACAGCACTAGACAAGTCATCAAGACAGAAAGTCAACAAAGAAACAATGGACTTAAACTGCACTCTAGAATAAATAGACCTAACAGATATTTACAGAACATTCGACCAAAGAACTGAAAAATATACATTCTTCAGCACATGAAACTCCAAGATCATATGAGAAGGCACAAAGAAGTCTCAAAAAATTTTTAAAAATCAAAATTCTGTCAAGTATCCCCCCAGACCACAGTGGAATAAAATTTGAAATCAACTCCAAATACACAGAAATTAAACAATCTGCTACTGAACGATTTTTGGGTTACCATTTTGAAATCAAAATGGAGATTTAGAAATTCTTCCAAAGGAATGATAATAGTGATACAAGTTATCTAAACCTCTGAGATACAGCAAAAGCAGTGCTAAGAGGCAAGTTTATAGTGCTAAATGCCTACATCAAAAAGTCTGAAAAGTCACCAACTGACATCACAGTTTGATATGTAACATCACACCTCAAGGAACTAAAGAAACAAGAACGAACCAAACTCACAGCTAGCAGAAGAAAAGAAATAAAGATCAGAGCAGAACTAAATTGAATTGAAACAAAAAAATACTAAAGATCAACAAACAAAAGGTTGGTTCTTTGAAAATATAAACAAAATCCACAGGCCATTAGCTATATCAATCAAGAAAAGAAAACAGAAGATGCAAATAAACTCACTGAGAAATAAAAATGGAGACATTACAACTTACACCACAGAAATACGGAAGATCATTCAAGACTACTACAAATACCTTTATGCACACAACCTAGACAATCTAGATGAAATGGATAAATTCCTAGAAACATACAATCCTCCTACCTTAAGTAAGGAAGAAATAGAAATCCTGAACCAATAACAAGCAGTGACAATGAATCAGTAATTTTTAAATTGCCAACAGATAAAAAAAGCCCAGGGCTAGATGGATTCACAGAGTAATTCTACCAGACATTCAAAGAATTGGTACTGGCCAGGCTCGGTGGCTCATGCCTGTAATCCCAGCACTTTGGGAGGCCAAGATGGGTGGATCACGAGGTCAGGAGATCAAGACCATCCTGGCTAACACAGTGAAACCCCATCTCTACTAAAAATACAAAAAATTAGCCGGGTGTGGTTCACGCACCTGTAGTCCCAGCTACTCGGGAGGCTGAGGCAGGAGAATTACTTGAACCCAGGAGGCAGAGGTTGCAGTGAGCCGAGATCGTACCACTGCACTCCAGGCTGGGTGACAGAGCAAGGCTCCGTTTCAAAAAAAAAAACAAAAGAAAAGAATTGGTACCAATCCTACTCAAACTATTCCAAAAGATTGAAAAAGAGGGAATTGGCCAGGCGAGGTGGCTCACACCTCACGCCTGTAATCTCAGCACTTTGGGAGGCTGAGGTGGGCAGATCACAAGGTCAGGAGTTTGAGACCGGCCTGGCCAATATGGTGAAACCCTGTCTCTGAGAGCTCAAAGCTGCAGTGAGCTGTAATTGTGCCACTGCACTCCAGGCTGGGTAACAAAGTGAGAACCTGTCTCAAAAACAAAAACAAACAAACAAATAAAAATCTGTAATGAAAAAGTTAAAAGCATTAGAACTCAAAACACAGTAACAAGAAAACAACAAAAATTTGAATAGACACTTCACCAGAAAAGATACAGATGATGCAACAGACTGAATGTTTGTATTCCCCCACTCAAATTCATATGCTGAAGCCTAAATACCCAATATAATGGTATCAGAGGTAAGGTTAGGGGTCTTTGGAGGTAATTAGGTCATGAGGATAGGGTCCTCAAGAATGGGATTAGTGTCCTTAGAAGAGAGATGATCTCCCTCTCTCTCTCTCTCTTTACCATGAGAGGATATAGAAAGAAAATAGCTGTCTGCAAACCAGAAGGAGTGCCCTCACCAGACCCTAGACCTGTGGGTAATCTTGGACTTCCCAGCTCCAGAACTGTGAGAATAAAATTCTGTTGTTTAAGCCATCCAATCTATGGTATTCTGTGACAGCAACCTGAACTTTTTTTTTTTTTTTTTTTTTTTTTTGGGGAGGGGTGTCATCTGTTGCCCAGGCTGGAGTGTAATGGTGCAATTTTAGTTCACTGCAACCTCCACCTCCTGAGCTCAAGCGATCCTCCCACTTCAGCCTCCTGAGCAGCTGGGACTCCAAGCGCATGCCACCACACCCAGATAATTTTTGTATTTCTAGTAGAGACAGGGTTTCACAATGTTGCTCAGACTGGTCTTGAACTCCAGGACATGAGTGATCCACCTGGCTCAGCCTCTCAGCCTGAACTTATTAAGACAGATGACAAGCAGATTAAAAGATGCATAACATCATCAGTCATTAGGAAAACGTAAATTAAAACCACAGTGAAATATTGCCAATTCATATTATAATAGCAAAAATGAAACAAAAACTGAAACTAAAAGAACCCAGACAATATTATTAAGTGCTGATAAGGATACAGAGCAACCAGAACTTTTATGTATTACTCATACAAACACAAAATGGTAACAGCCACTCTGGAAAATAATTTAGCAGTTTTATAAAGTTAATATATACTTCCTATGCAATTCAGCAATTCCACTGTTAAGTATTCACCCAAGTGAAATAAAAACCTATGCTTTCATAAAAATGTGTATGTGAAAATTTATATGACTTTATTTGTAATCACTAAAAACCATCCAGATGTCCCTTAACTTGGGAATGAATAACTATGGTACTTCCTTATAACAGAACATTACTCGGCCATAAACAGAAAGAACTACTGATACATGTAACAATATGATAAGTCTCAAATGTATTATGCATAAATGAAAAACAACCAGACTTAAGAGACTATAAAGTATATGATTTCATTTATATAAAATTCTAAAAAAGGCAAAATTACAGGAACAGAAACAGATCAGTGAGTATGACAGGGGCTTGGAATAGAGGAAGGGATTGACCACAAAAGGTACAGAATTCTGATGGGTGATGGAACTGTTCTATATCTTCATTGTGGTGGTGACTGTATGATAGTAAATGTCTGCCAACACCAACAGAACGATATACTTGTTATGGGTTGAACTGTGTCCCTTCAAAATTTTTATGTTGAAGTCTAAGCCCCTTATACCTCAGAATGTGACCTTA